CAACCTAAAGGAATCATAGAAAAGTGAAAAGAAGGTTGGGCTTATAAACTTAAGAAATCCATTTATGACCTTAAACAAGCTTCGAAACAATGATATATAAAGTTTAATGGTACCATTATTTCTTTCGAATTTAAGAAAAATATTTTTGATCAGTATATATATCTAAAGGTAAGTGAAAGCAAGTTTATTATCTTTGTCTTATATATGGATGAAAGTTTACTTGCTAGTAGTGATCTTGGTTTGTTATACAAAACCAAGATATTTCTCAATAATAACTTTAAGATAGTTGATATGAATAAGACAGCCTATGTTATTGACATTAAGATATTCAAAGATAGATCTCAAGGATTATTAAGATTGTCTCAAAAAAGATATATTAACTATATCTTGGAGAGATTTAATATATAACTTTACTCAATCAATGATATACCTATTACTAGAGGTGAAAAATTTAACCAAAATCAATGCCCGAAAAATAACTTAGAAAAGAATCAAATGAAGAATATTTCTTATGGATGCGTAGTTGAAAGTTTATTATATACTCAAACTTGTACAAGACCATATATTAGTTTTGCAGTTACAATGTTGGGAAGATACCAAAGCAACTCAGGAATGAAACATTGGAAAGTTGCAAAGAAAGTAATGAGATATTTACAAGGGATTGAAGATTATATGCTCACATACAAGAGATCAGATCAGCTTGAAGTGATGGGATATTCATATGCTGATTTTGCAAATTGCCTCGATCATAGGAAGTCCACTTTAGGATTTATATTAATGTTAGTTAATGGGGTAATTTCTTAGAAAAATATAAAGTAATCGCTTATTATATCATCAACAATGGAAGCTGAATTATGGTTGTAAAAATATAAAGTAATCGCTTTGATGCCACAATTCAAGTCTTATGGTTGTAAAATTTCATCTTATGTGGTTGACTCAATTACCAAACTGCTGAAGATATTTTGTGATAATACCACAGTAGTTCTTTCTCTAAGAATAACAAGTACTCTAGTGGTTCTAAGCATATCGAGATAAAGTATTTGGTGGTTAGAGAAAGAGTCCAAAAATAACAAGTGTCAATTCAAAACCTAAGCATCACTATGATGATTGATGATCAATTTACTAAAGCTTTACATTATAAAATATTTAAAGAATATGTTCTTAGAATGAAACTTGTGAGTAAGTCATAAAAGATATAGTGATGGATGTTTAGGTGGATGTTATTATTGACATTTTTTCTTACTCAATTAAAGTTATTTGTTTCTACTATCATATTTATATTTATGTTTATGCATATTATAATTAAATATGATAATATGATTGTCTTGACAAGACAAATTATATGAGTCATTATGGACTATATTAGGAAAGACTGACAATGATGTGGTACATATAAGGGAGTATGACATTGATGATATACAATTGCTATGACTTGTATTGATAGTTGGACTTAATATAGTATTATTATGTTTATTTGATTTATTGACTTATTTTTATAATTCATGGCCATGTATAAAATACTTTTCAAAATTTTTGTAATGTAAAATTATTTTCAAACAAATTTTATTTTATTTATTTTGATTTTAAATATCTTTTATATCTTATCAATTAATAGGTCAAGTGGGAGAATATTAGATTTTATGACCCTTTATAATTAGATAAGATATATAATAGAACTAATTAGATTTTGATGGCATATATTGGCTAATAGAAAAGTTCATATTATAATAGGATTCCTTAGGGGATGTCATTGATAGAAGAAACTCTCATAATAACTTATTCTAGACCCTCTACTCTCGCCTATAAATAGAGAGGACCTCTAGAGACTCGATGAGGCATGCAACGTATCTCATAGAGAATACAATTGAGATATTATAGTTTCTCTCTCAACCTCCCTGAACTATCAATCTAAGTGGTCCTATAAAAGGATAAGAAGAGAGGAGAAGGAGAGTCTAGTACTACTTACAGATTGACAATGATTTTGGATATAAAGACGGTGCCTTTGCAGATCATATAGAGACCCTTTTCATATGGCATCAAAAGGTATGTATCATAAAACAAATCTAATGTTATTTGATTTCAATCTAGCATAAGAGATTTTTTTCACATTACATATAACATATTATAGATTTTATGCTTATAATAGGCATAAAAGATTTTATTCTTATGAACATTAAACTAAGCTAGATCTTTCCTAAGTTTTCATTTCATTAACTTGTTTCATAGTACTTTCATCAATCAAGTCTGTAGGATTTTCAACAAGCAATGCTAAGTCAAGATCTAATATGCCTAGTGTAAATTGCACATGCTCTAGCCATTCTGAATAATTTGATCCAGAGAATACAGGAACACTAGAAGCATAAGAATGTATGGATGGAAGTACCATTGTAAAATATAAAATAATATTAATGCTTTGAGTTTTTCAAAATATGATATCATCTATATTTCACCTTTGGGTGAAATATTAATATATCTAGTATTCACTCAAGATTATCTATGGATGACTAATATCATCCTTGTGTATACAACCCTAAACTGCAAGGATATCTAAAATACTATCATCCTACAATATCACATAATTATTTGAAGAAGATTCTTTATTGGGATTATCTAAATCTCATAATTATGTATGTCATTATGAATATTATTTTCTTAATGTAATTTAGGATTAATTCCTTAATGTTATTTTATAAGCTATTGATTTAGGTTACTTTGCTGGCTACAAGACTAATACAATAATATAAAATATAATTTAAAATATTTTTTAAATGATAAAATTTTTATTGTAATTCATATCTCAAAAGCTTATCACCCAAGCCCGTGCGGTGCCTACGCGATCTGCCCAACGCTCGACCTATGCTCCCGAGTGGCTATCGTCGCTTGTGCACGGTTGGCCACGGCTCTTGCCCGCGCACGTCTGCTGCGTGCGAGTGGCTATCGATTATGCGGCCCCCCTGCAACACTAACCTCGCACGTGGCTTATGCCCGAGTGTGGTCCATTGCCTGGGCATGTCCTGCCTGCACATGACTATCGCTTAGACACAATTGCAGTGCGTAAGCTGCCCGGCGCTGCCGCTATCGTCAACAAATCTGTTGGCCATACGTAGCAAGGCCGACAACAGTGCTGCATAACGATCCTTTGCGATTATTACAGATCGTGTTTATAAGAAATCTAACATTATCTATAAGTAGACGATAAAACAGAATAGATAGAAATATATATCAACAAAATATAGATCATTCAAGTATCATAAATAAAAATAATAGATCTAATGTATTTGATCTCAAGAACCTAGGCTCTAATACCAATTGTAAACATAAAATTTATAATATGCTATATCTAATGCGAAAAAAATTTTATATGCTAGGATTAAAATCAAATAATATTATATCTGTTTTACGATGCATACCTTTTGATGCCATCTAAAAAGGATTTCTATATGATCTGCAAGGGCATCGTCTTTAGATCCAAAATCGTTGTCAATATATAAGGACAACTAGACTCTTCTTCTTTAATCTTTCAATTGCGTTCTATATGAGATGTGTAACATATCTCATTCGGTCCCTAGAGCAGAAGTTCTAGGATAAGTTATTAGGAGAGTTCCTCCCATCAAGCGTATTCCCTAATAAATCCTACTATAATATATATATTTTTTTATTGGCCAATATCAGAATCCAATTAATTTTATTATATATCTTATCCAATTATAAAGAACCACAAAATCTTGAACTTGTTTTAAGTCGCTTTTGAATTTGAGCTGTAAAAAAGAATAGTGTCGTATTTGGTTTGTAAATTATATTCTTCCACTAATGCTATGTCTGCATCAAAAGGTTAAGGCGTTTGTTCACACAAAATCTACTGATGGTCACTATGTCATGCTAGATTGAATTGGGAGTAGTCTCCTCTTGCATCAGGTACTTATGATGCCTTTTGGTTTTTTTTTAGATGCAACTTGCTGGTGTGCGTAACAGATGTAATTACATCTGCTTCTATCTGTTTGTAACCAAAATAGGTTTATCTAACATGGAATGGAAGAACAAATGGTGATACACCAGAGTTTGATTACTGGAACATGTACCAGTTGTATGTTATGACTTTGCTTGAATACCGAAGGGGTAATTTGAATACCGAAGGGGTAATTTTAGATTGTGTTATTAGGATCGATGGGGTTTTATGGGTACTACCAGGAGCTGGAGCAAAATAATTAATTGTATTGTGAGTCTAAAGGCAAATTTTTAGAACTATCTTATAACTGAGTCTATAATAAGGTTGGATTTTGCAGCTACAACCCATAATTGGCTTGAACAATGGCAGCAGAAATCGTCATGCCCCATGGAAGGTAGGAGTATTTTCTCTGAAGATGATATGAGCTTGTAGTTTAACAATGTTTGATTGTGTAGAAGGCACTTAATACTGACTTCTTAGAGCAGTTAAGTGCAAGTTTTTCTCAGTATGTGTATTATGAATGGTTCGAAACATGCTGTAATGCATTGTTAATGATGGTTTCCAACCTTTAAGATTCCTAATTATTTAGGTTTAGATCACTAATTATTCAGATTTTTTTGCAGGGATCAGTTGGCAAAAAACTTGTCAGTGTGTAACAAGAGATTATTATTATTATTATTTTTAGATAATTTTTTGTCATACGATCGTCATCAGTATGCTTGCCACAAATTCTATCTTCTTTTTGTATTAAGTCGATATCAGTTAGTATTATAATTAATTAATACGAAAAGTTATATTCTCGAGAAAAAAAATTCTGAATCACAATTTATTTTGCCAGCTGAGACATGTAAAACTTACCATGATTGATCACTGTGAATCGGCAAATAAGAAAAGAAAGAGTCAATTTGCAATGTGAAATTACATACATTACACATTAAACGCATGAAATATATCTTTTTCTTTTCAGTGCAACGGATTGGATTGGAATACGTAATCCGATCCATATAAAGCTGTTGCACAAAACAAAGGAACGGGTTAAAAAGGGGGGGGATTCCGTATTACGTGTTCGAGATACCCATGAGCCGTGCAAATGAGAATGGGGTTCTCCTCGACGACGGGGAGTACCGCAGCAGCTGCGCCTCTGCCTCATATGATCCCCAAGCCTACACATCGCCACCGCTATTGTAACAGCCGCAGCAGCAGCACATCCCCAGCAGCAGCAGTGAGATGGAGGCCGCAGCTGTCTCGTCCTCCTGTTCCAGTACCGCCTCAGGTGCTGCTCCCGTTGCGCCGCCCCCAGCAACCATCACCAGCAAACAACCCCCGCCCGCTCCCGACCAAGCCTTCCCCACGTCGTCCTGTTGTTGACGCACCCGATCACAGCAGCCACGACGATGACGATGGCGATGAGTGCAGCAGCAGCAGCAGTGGCAGAAATGTAAAGAATTCGTCGTGTACTCCCACCGATGTCCTCCGCCTCATGGACGTCCTGCAGCTCCCCGTGGACGAGGACTTGTACGTTTCCCTTATCAAGGAGTGCGCCGAGTATCGGGACGCCGCCCAGGGCGCCAGAGTCTGCGCTCACATCCGCCGTAGCCTCCCCGACCTCCTGCGCCGGCCCGCCGGCCTTCACCTCGCCAACCGCTTGCTGTTCATGTTCGCCGCCTGCGGCCAACAGCACGTAGCCCGCCAGCTCTTCGACCAAATGCACTTTAGAGATGCCACCTCCTTGGCGGTCGTGATCGCCGCCCTGTCGGCCAGCGGCAGCCACGGCGATGCGCTGCGGCTGTTCGTGGAAATGTGCGTGAGAAGCGGTGGTCGTTCGCCGGTGCTTGAGCCGGGTGTTTGCTGGCTGGAAGCCCTCGTCACCGTTCTCCGGTCGTGCGCTCGGACGAGAGAGCTGGGTTTTGGCCGGCAGGTTCACGGGCTGGCCATCAAGGTGCTAGGAGGCGATGACGCTGTTCTTCTCGGAGATGTGGGCGAGTCGCTCATCCAATTCTACGGCAGACTTGGGCACCACGGCAGCGCCGTAAAACTCTTCGAGGGGACGCGGTCTCAGAGTGCAGCGGCTTGGACGTGCATGATCAGTGGGTACTCTAGAGAAGGGCGGTTCAAGGAGGCCATCGGCGTCTTCAGAGAGATGGGAAGAGCAGGACGGAGGAAGAACTGCCACGTTTTCTCGAGCACTCTCTCGGCATGCGCGAAGATGGGGGACGGTGGCTGGAGCGGCAAGCAAGTTCATGCCGCTGCCATCAAATTGGGAACAAGCTCGGATGGGTTCGTCTGTAGCAGCTTGGTAGACATGTACATGAAACACGAGCTTCCAACTGAGGCGCAGAGAGCATTTGCGACGATGGACGGCATGCGAGACTGCGTGTGCTGGAAGTCTTTGCTCATTGGCTATGCGCGGAGTGGCTGCGGCATGGAGGCTGTCAAGTTGCTGTATGAAATGAAGGCCGCAGGAATCAACGTGCAAGAATCGATAGTCCACGAAGCAATGACGGCTTTGGACATCGTAAAACAGGTGCAGGAAACATGAAGATACGGCTAATCTTCTCTATTGTAACGTCAACTGGACCTGGAAGTCTTGCTTCAGAAAGATCAAGACTTCTTGTACAGATTCAGCTTTGTCGTTCTTCATGAACAGACAAACCACCATGAACGAATTCTGCAATCGAGCAAAGAAATGATCAGAGACGCAGCAGCAGATGCATGTCACAATGAGTATGTGAATAGATGTTCAAATTGCACAATCCAGACTAGCAGTCCACTGATCAATAGTATGAATCATGTGCAAATGTGTCATCCACTCTGATCACTTCAACGCAAACTTTATTGTTCATTTCATTGTTCGCAAGATGAAGATAGAGGAACTTCTGATTTGATTGATACTTTCTCATGTTCCGCTGCAGGAACATTGGTCGAGCTATCTGACAGATACACGTATATGAAAGCTAAAATATGGCCATGCAGAAGCAACAGTGTTCCATGATGTTAAAGGACATTGTATATGAACATGGAGACATAAAAAAATCTGTATACTCTATTTGCTGTCAGCCTACATGTCTCTGTTCCACATGATACTGTCTTAGAATTTTGGAGTATGTAACTATGACACTGAAAAAGCTGTATAAAAGTATATTATGTTGGCTTTCTGTATCTCTAATAGAGAACTTTTCTGTTTTTTCATACGTGTGAGCTCACTGATAATGCTATATAAATCGGTTGGTTTAGGTATTATTATGCTGTTGCATGTTGAACATCTCTGACATGCAAGCTAGTATAATACAAATTAAGAACTTAGCCTTGACTATCAAGTTCTAAACATTATGTTTTACATGCCGCTTGAAAGTGAATGTATGCAGTCATTGTAGTTGATACTTTGAAGAACATCACACAACTTTCTTGGCAAATTATAGTCTGGAAAGCTACAGCTGTCCAAATGTCAAAAGATGTTAATGCCTTTCCTGTGAAGTGATGATTCGACCAGCTAAAGTCATTTGATGAGAAAAAAATTACATAAGTTGGTGAGTGAAGAGACATTCCTTCTGTCATTCAACTTGGGCTGATGCAGCCTTGTACAATCATAGTGGCATGATTTATTCCAAGATTTCTACTTTAAATACTTCTAAAACCTAGAACTTCCTTCCCATCTAAAAAACAAGCAGGATTATGTAAGAAATGAGCAGATGAACTCCTTATGGAAAAAGGATAATAGTTCTTCTGGCTTATATCAGTTTGCAGAAGTGAATTTGGCAGTGTATTTTTAGTTGACATTTTCAAGATGATTGACAGTAGTACTCATTTAAAAGAATAATTACCTTTGGCAAAACCAATTGCAGCAAAACTACTGAATGCTCTTACCTTATATCATGCAGATAGAGATTATATTTGCAGATAGGATACTTCAATATTTTTATTTTATTTTATTTTCAGAAGAAGATAGGGTTTTTTTTTTTGTACGCCAAAGAACTCATATCAAGTTGGAAAAATAGATAATTGTCATTAGCAATGATCGATATGTATTATCTTGAGCAAATATAGAATACAACAAACAATATCAAGTAATTCAAATTTTGCCACTTGTAGGTGTTGCACGAATCTCTAAGTGGTAATCAATCATTTCTTTTCAAACTAATGGTTACTAGTCATTAATCTGAGTCTACCGGACATATATATATATATATATATAACGGGTCCTGACAGCCGTTATAATGAATGTTAAGACCGTTATTTTTAACAATGGCGTGTGTAACGGGCAGCGGAGACCGTATGATCACCTGTGAATGCCAGTCTCTTTGCATACGCATACATATTATTATTATATTCATATCTTCTGAAGCTTAAACCTCTGCAGAATCCCATTACCGCCGTCACGGGAGCTGGAGAGATGGCGAAGCTCGTCCGCCACTCTCTCCGTCGAACCCCAAATCCCTCCCGCCTCTCCTCCCTTCCTCTTCCCCCTCCTCCTCCTCGAAGATGTTTCTCTTCTAATGAAGCAGATATCCTCGAACGCCGAGGAGAAGACATCCACGGCAGCATCGGCGGCGGCGGCGGAGGAGGAGATCAGGCAGAGGAACTATTGGATAAGTTGCGTGCACAGCTCCGGCAAAAGGGCTGCTTTCATTCCTCCCTATCACTCTGCCAAACCCTAATTCTCTCCCACAAGCCCCTCTTCCCCTCCCCCTCCCACCTCTTCCGATCCCTCGCCGGCTCCTTTTCCCATCCTCACCCGCTCTCCCACTCCGCTGCCAGCCTCCTCGTCTCCGCTTACGCTTCGCTTAACCTCCCTGACGAGGCCCTCGACCTCGTCTCCTTCGTCGCCCAGGAAAGCTCCCACCTGTTCCCCTGTCTCCGTTCGTGTAATCTCCTGCTTGAGACCCTTGTATCCCGCAAGCGGTACACCGATGCCTTGTCTCTCTTCAACCGGTTGGTCGCCTCTCCAATTCGCCCGGACACCTACGCCTACAATAAGGCCATCCAGTCGGCTGTCAAATCCGGAGATCTGGATAGAGCGATGGAGTTATTTCATTGCATGGAGAAGAAGGATTGCCTGAAGCCGGATGCTTTCACCTTCAATTGCCTGATATCGTGCCTGTGCAGGGAGCGGCGCCTGGATGGTGCTCAGAAGATGTTTGAAGAAATGGAGAGGAGGGGAATCACACCAACCCTCATCACATATAATACGATGGTTGATGGGTATTGTAAAATTGGGAATTTGGATGCTGCTTTTGGTGTGCGGGATCGGATGCGGGCTTCGAAATTGAAGCCAAACCTTGTCACGTATAATACCTTGCTATCGGGGCTTTGTTGTGCCAGCCGGATGGATGACGTAAATTCCTTGTTGGATGAGATGAGAGCAGCTGGTTTCATGCCTGATGGATTTACGTACAGTGCTCTCTTTGATGGCCACTCGAGAAGTGGCGATGTGGAAGCCGCATTGGTTTTATTCGAGGAGTCAGTTAAAAAGGGTGTAACAATAGGAGCGTACACTTGCAGTATATTGTTGAATAGACTTTGCAAGTATGGAAAAGTTGCCAAAGCAGATGAGGTCTTGGAGAGACTAGTAGAAAAAGGCTTGGTCCCAACCAGTGTGATTTTTAATACGATTGTTGATGGATATTGTCGCATAGGAGATATGGAAGGAGCCTTTGAGGCCATGGGCCGGATGGAGTCACTTGGATTGAAAGCCGAATGCATCACTTACAATTCACTGGTAAATGGGCTGTGCAAATTGCAAAGGATGGCTGAGGCAGAGGGGTTGATCAAGGAGATGGTAGGGAAGGGAGTGTCACCAGAAGTGGAGACATATAATCCACTCATCGATGCTTATGCGCAAGCTTGTCACTTTGAGAGGTGCTTTGACATTTTTGAGGAGATGAAGGATATGGGGCTGGAATTGAATGTTGTGTCTTATGGATCACTGGTCAATGGTTTCTGCAAACAAGGCATGCTTGTGGAAGCAGAAGCACTCTTCCAAGACATGGTATTAAGAGGTATTCGACCAAATGTGCAGATATACAACATTCTAATTGATGCATATTGTAAACAGGAAGAGTTGCAAAAGGCTTTTGAACTGATTGAGGGAATGAAGAAAACTGGGATATCTCCTAGTATTGTGACTTATAATACTCTAATAAAAGGTCTGTCTGTCAAAGGAAATCTATCAAAAGCTCAACACTTGGCCCTCGGGTTAAGAGATGAAGGTTTAAGCCCTGATGCAGTTACGTACACCATTCTTATATCTGCCTATTGTAATACCAGCTCTACTGATAAAGCTATTGAGCTTTACAAAGAGATGGAGAAGCTAGGCCTCAGACCAACCTTGTCTACTTATCATGCCTTGATTAGTCAGACGAGCTTAGAAGGAAGGATGCAAGATGCTGAGAATTTATTTGAAGAAATGCTACAGAAGAAACTGCTTCCTGATAGGGATATCTATAGTGCACTAATGTCTGGTTATGCTAATTATGGACATCAAGAAAAGGTAGTAGTTTTACAGAAAGAGATGGAACAGAGGGGAATGTTACCTGTTGTAAGGTAAGAAATGAAAAGAGGTGTATATTGAGCTGTAGCTGAAAGATATTATCCGAATAAAATATGCAGAAATCTCTGGGTGTATTTGGAAATCTCAGGAGAAGGTATGAGATGCAGACAAAACTTGATATATGTATCTTCAAATTGATAAGAATCCTCTTAGTTCAACTATTTCACTGGATCTCTTCTTTAAATTATTGCATTTCTTGTGATATCCAATCTTTGCTCACCATTGCTAATTTGACATTGCAACATCTGTCACCATTAGAATTCTAATATAATACCATATGTCCCAACCCTAACCCTAATTGAAGGGCAACATTTGATAGATTAGACATCAGCACTTAGAGTTATAGTCTGTAGAATTGGTACCTATTATTTAAAAGGAGAATTATGACATGTTTCATCTTTTATCTATCTTCCATCTCTTTTGAAGTTTTATTTACATTGAACCAACGACATGTTTCTCCTAAGGTTTTTAATAGACGCCCAGGCGCTTGCCTAGGTGCTCGGGCGAGGCGAGGTGAGGCCCAAGCGCATCACACAGCTTTCGGGCGATGCATTTGACTGAATCACCACATGGGCGCCTTGAGTGAGCGCTCGAGTGAATTGTGACTTGAGTTCCTGCTTGGTTCAATCAAACCAACTAAACCCTAACACTAAACCACCACCCCCTCAGTGAACGCCCGAGTGAATTGTGACCTTAGCTCCTGCTTGGTTCGATTGAATAGGCAAGTTGGTTCAATTGAACCAACTAAACCCTAACACTAAACCAACCACCCTCCTCGTGTGCTTGGCTTGATGAAAACTAAAACCCTACATCATCGTTCAACCCACCTGTGGTCTGTCGCCCAGTGTGCCTTTGTGTACAGCTCCCTTTGCCATTGCTGCCTTTGTGCACAGTTCCCTCCACTGCCACCTTTGTCCAAAGCCCCCTCTGCCACCGCCGTCTCCTTCCCCACCTTCCTCCATAGGCTGGTTACTCCTCTTATCACCTCTCTAAAGTTGATTAGCATTAATCCCTCTTTAGAACCATTCTCAGTCCCTCTTTACACTTTAAAGCCGTTTAGCATGGTTAATCCTTGTTTGAAATTGTCTAGCAATATTTAGCACTGTTTACTCCCTCTTTGGAACTATTTAGCATTGGTTGCTATTAAAATATATTTTTTATATTTTAATATTCTGGAGCGCCTCAGACATTTTGGGATCTTGGCACCTGGCACTTTTAAAAACACTAGTTTTTCTTCTAACATGGCCCTAAGCATGTCATCTTGGAAACATATAATATTTGGTGCAACAACAAGAAGTTATAATGCCCCACCTATTTAAGATCAACTATATGAATTTTTCCTACCATCGAGCTCTATTTATAGTAATATCACTAATCAAACTAAGAATAGTTAAATCTCTCTTATTGTTTCCAATAACAATTTTATGGGTTTTCCCTTTCCTATTCTTATACCATTGAAGTCTTAATTGAGACACCTTATTTGTATGAGACATTTATATATGTATTGTTTGGAAATGACCGTTCAGTTTTAAATAATTTTCTCTCATCTTATCTTATATTGGTGTGTATAATTGTTCATGAATGTAAACATTTTCTTTTCTATCTTCTATAGTGACCCACACACATCCATCTTGATATTCTTATCTCAACAAAACTTCTTTTTTCCTAACTATCCAACATTGTGATCAATGTCACAAACATTGTTTGGATGAACTCTTGTATATATATATATATATATATATATATATATTTTGTCAAAATGGGTGTCAACATGGTAGCTCTTTGCTCTTTGGAACATCTAGGTGATGAGATGCCTTGGGTTACTTCTAGTTGATGATCTAGTTGCTTCATACAAACTTTTTTTCAAACTTGGAATTAATAGTGATAATGCCTAGGTGGAGTTTAGAAACTCCATGCCATAATTGTGCATTCATATTGTTGTAAGCATGTCATATTAACAACTGCACCAAGGTATTCATAATTCATTCTAAGGACACCATGTGCTTCATATAATTACTCTTGGTTTGTAGGATGATGTTGTCATGCATTATGGTGCCAACTTTAGCAGTCAAGGTGTTTGCTGTTTCTATAACTGTTGGACTTGTTTCTTGTTGCTACTTTTTTGTTACTTGTCCATAAACTGAATTAGCATTTCTTTTCATCGACAGGTGAGGTGATACGAGTCATCTGCATTTTGCTCGTTGGCCTATATTTGCCTTGGCAAGACTCAGGTATCAGAGGGTAACCATGTTTGCTTTCGTTATTACCTTTGGATGTTATGCTTAGACTGGCCAACAGCATTATCTTGATTGAGGATGTCTTGAGAGCTTGTTTATCATCTGGTTCAAGCAAAATATGAAAAGATCAGCATGTTTCTTCCTTGGGTACTTTTTCTTTCTGAACATTGGAATTATCCACTCCAAGTCGCTCATTGCTGCACGGACAAGAAGCTTTATTTCTTGGATTTTTGCCATGGCACCCATTCAAGAGTCTATCGATACATGGACCAAGGTAAATTGAGTGATACGCTTTGTACGTGTATCGTTCAATAAAGGCATGTACTTTGGTACTGTACCAGTGTTTTTTTTCAGTTTTTCTCAGGGTTTTCCAAAACTCAATTCGTACTTGTATATCGACACATGCTACACAAGATTGTGAACCTTGGATATGAATGCAATCAGAAAGTGTAAGCAGATCACAAAGTGTTGATGCGTCGATGTAAGAATTGACGGCTGCAGCAACTTCTTACCAATATGATGATCAGCGAGTCTAGCATGGCAGCTATCGTTGCTGGTATCAGCCTCTCAGATCACTGCACCAATAGGTGTAGCTTCAGCAATACTCTAATTGTTCATTGGTCTGATAATGGTGTAACAGATTCATTAGATAATGGAGTATCAGATTCATATTTTACCGAATTCACTTGGTTGAGGATTTAAATTATTGCTTATTCTTTTGGACTTCTCATGATAAATTCTTTATGCATGGACGGTTCAAGCATTAGCACCACAAGCTGCAGCACCAGCTTTCCATACGACTGCTGATGCCACTCGTCAACCTGGCTATCTTGGAGTGATTGGATTTGCAAGTGCCAGTCGAAAAACATCGAGGATGAACCAATGTATAAACCGCAAAAGAAGAGAACAATGCATTTCTATGGTCAGAGGTCATGTAATTACAGTACAGATGTTTTCTTCTTTCTCTTGGTATAAGCTACCGAGTTAGGGCAAATCCACAAGATGCATCTTCGAGTCTGGAAAGCTTGTAATCGATTGAGATCAGGTCGATCAGGCAATGTATTTGTAAATGTTTGGGTCCTCCTCGTCCCGCTCTAAAAATTCTCTGGTGATCAGATCTTCTATTCGTTGCTTGATCAATTTTACGTCAGGCTGCAAATTAAGACCACGACTTAATTAGGACAGTCTGAAAAGTTGTCTTCTTTCTGAGACATTTCTAATTAACACACAGTATTCCTATGTTTCGGTATACGATTCATCGGTACTATCTATAATACCTTGAAAATGCGGCTAAGCTGTTGGATGCATTCCAACACCAACTGTTGATGACCCAAAGCCTTTCGACTTTTCATGATGCGCACGATGTAAGCATCAATAGCATATCTTCGATCTTTGTTGACATCTTCTATCACCTTCTTGTTCTCGTCCACCGGGGGAAGAGGTACCTGCAGTCGAATGAATGTGTCAATCAAAGAACCAAAAAAACCGAAAAGAAAGAACTTCTTCTTCTTCTTCTTGAGCATTCAAGAGGAAAGTCATGTCCAGACCTTAATCCTTCTCATTTTGTCGGTGAATTTGGAATTGAACTCGAAGATGTCGTTGGGAGAGACGGTGTCTGTCATTGGCGCTTTCTTTAGAATCTTATATCTGGCACAAGAAAGCGAGTGAAGCACTCTGACCATGTCCTCATCGGTCAAGTTGAGCTGAGCTTTGATCTCTGCGTAGCTCAATCTATCTGCGGAGTTAAATAGCAGAAGAACTGCCGCCTGTTCACGTCTCATCATGTGAATACTTCCAGTTAGCATCCATGTCTGTTTTACATGATCAGAACGAAAAGAATCCGATAGATACCTGATAAGTTGCCACATTAAGCTCTATGGATTTGGCATCAAACTTGGCATTGATGTTACATGTCCCTAACGAATATATCCACGAAAGCTTTCTGTTCTTGGTGCTGGACTCATAAAACTTCTTGTAGGCTTCTATGCATTTGACCTGAAAGCAGCAACCGAAATTAGCAATCAGCAGCGACCAAGCATTCTTTTTTTGCATGTCAAATCCCTCGAGTTAAAGTTGATCAATTATAATTGCTTTTTTTGGGTGAAAAACTTGCAATCAATCATTCATATCAAGAAAATGGATTTGCCTTACCATCTCATCGGGAAGGGTGAGATCAGATGATTTGTAACTTGGCCAGAATCCAGTCGTGAGAACACTGACACTGAGCTCTGTCCCCGGATGCGCATGGGGGTTCGCGTAGAGGTAGTCCTCGAAACACGATTGGTTTTCTTTAGCAAGAGTTAGATCAGTCACCTGAGACAAACAAATTTTAGTCTGCCAACCCGCGTATTCAGTGCCAATCACCATACAAACATGATGCTACTGACCATGCCCTCCATCTTTGAGCTGAACTGCCCTCCACATTGCTGCTTTAGGTACGTCAAAATGAGCCTCTCATGATCCTCGTTAGCATATCTGTCAAACAGCAACCTCCTCGCAAGCTTCTTCCTGCAAATCAATTTCGCAAATTCGAACATGACCGTAATGACAGACATCGTAAATAGCTCAGCATGCGACAGCCTTTATACCTGGAGAACTCAGCAAACAGGTCTTTGTCATTGATGTAAGAAAGCAATTTCATGGACTACAAAGACGGAAGATTTGTTCAGTTGCACTGTAGATTCATTCCACAATAGAAAGAGAGAGACACTCATGTCAAAACAAGGCATTTACCTTCTCCAAAGTCCTGTCAATTTCGTCATCACTGAGCTTCTCACTTCCTGCTTTTCTAAGAACATTATCGCAAAAGGAAGCCAGCATCTCGGCACTCGAGGAGCCCGCGACGCTCTTATTGCAGAAAACTTCAAAAGCCTCTTTGAGTGCCTAAAAGGGATACACAATCCTTAGGCAAAGTTGAAGACTTGGAACAGTGGTTGGTGCATGACAAACCAAACCTTGTTGAGAAGGGTGTGATTCTGGAAGCTTTCCTGGACATATCCCATATACTTGTCATACAGCTCAATAATTCTTCTGATCAAAACCTGAAAACCCAAGAGGTTCATCAATTCATGATTCTCAGAAAGAAACTGAACCGATTGATCTGCTCAAGCTAATCGAGAGGTTCACTACGCACCAGCTGCGGCGAATCAGCAGCATCCCTTTTCTCTGCCTGCAAGATTTACATTGTCAGCGTTGTTAATGGTGTGCATGTCAGCAAGAACGGAAGTACTGAAGGATGCTGATAATAAGAGTTGAAACTAAATAATCAATTGACTAAGGATTAAAGGTTCACCACTGGACAACGATTCTTATGCTAATATTTAGTATTCTTTTTTTCTATGAGAAAGAGAAAAAATGCCTCGAAGGATTCCTCAAAACAAGTCAACTAAATATCTTCACTTCAATTTCTTGTGGATCTTGTTGTTGTTAAGATCAAATGACAGTCAACTTCAAGGAAAAGACTATGGCCACATACTCTCTTGCTACTCGCAGCGTTCTCCGCCTGGCTGACTAGGGCTGTACCTTCAGCTTTCACATGCTGCAGTGATGTTTCAATGACCATGAGATTCAAGTAAAATAATTTACTGAAGACTGCATCAAATCAGAACATCATAAAACTGAGATAAACCTGCGTAAACAACTGAGAAACATGAGTCAGGCCTTCAGGTATTCTGCTGAAGAGCCTATACAGACGCTCGAGGTCATCCACCTAAAATGCAAATTAGAAGAATGGTTGTTAAGTTTCATAAAATCCTGAAAGGGGCATAATCTAACTCATCGGCATCTAAGAGGTAGAGAGAGGTACCTTGCCGTCTCGAAGTAATGCAATCAATCCAGAATTTTCCTTTTCTAGAAGTTGGATTTCATTTACAGACAGCAACTGATGTTCCACATTCTATAAACAAACAATATGACGACTCAAATGAATTTATCCAGCTGAAAATATTCATCGATATTATCGAAATATACCTCTATCAATTTCTGTTTAGTGGTATGGTCCAAGTAATGATCAACCCTGTCCTTCTCCTGCTTCAAGCGCTCCTCAGCCTAACAAAAGCCAAGACGCTTTCAGCGTTAGGTGAGTGATAATTACTGAATGGTCGCGCAACAAAAGTACCTTCAACATGTATTCCGGGCATGAATCCTCGAGAATCCATTTTGAAGCTTTCCTGGAATAATAGGTAGCGGTGTCTTGAAGCAAAGGGGCTTCCAAGTCAACTTCATAATACTCTTTACTTCCTAAACCGATCTGAATGAAAATTTCCACGACGTTGTTCAACAAAGGTCTATCTATTTGACTCCCCTCTCGCTCTTGATAAATCTGCTTGAAACACACAGCGTAATCAATGAACGTGTTCAATGCTCGAAAGGAAGAAAAGTGACTAGACTTACCAAAGAGATGACGGCATCTTTTATTTTTCCTTTCATCTCCTCATAAACCTATAACCACAAAAAAAAAACAATTAACTCCCGCAGGAGACTCGAGTTCAATACACCGAAAGCAAACATGTTGCAGAGATGTGACAGAAGAAGGATGAAGGCGCACCAGGTCACGGAAGCAAGTAATCCCAGCTTCCTTGAGTGGAAGAAGTGCCTTCTTCTTGACAAAATAGCGATCGAGGTAATGAAAGAAACGCGAAAGCCATCTGACCATGACTTTGTAATTTAACCATCTCCGGACGAGTTCCTTCAGCATATATTCATCGTTCTTCGACCTCAAAGAAGGTAAGACCTGATCGAAAGAGAAGAAGTTCTCGTAAGACTAGGACAAGATGGCATTGATACAGACTTCTTTTGCAATTTACATGATGGAATGATCATATCGTATCCAAAATGCAAGTTCTATTTGAATCGTTCATCAAACTTGCATCCAAAATGCACAGACGACAGAATTATGCGTATTCCTCCTTTTTCTTTTATAGAGCTTCTGTTTCTCCAATGGTTTTACCTTTCACAAAAAGCGAAAACATGTGAAACCTATATTAAGCATCTGCAAACGAAACTAAATCTGAACTCCGATGGTACTTATAATCGACACAATTGCATGCAAGCGACTAATAGTCAACCGGCCTACTCGAAATCAAGTTGTCTGAAGAGTACAAAAAGGGTAACTTATTCAAGGGGTGTCGAGGCCCAACTCAATTCCACCATCAAAGCTGAGAAGATTAGCACGGGAAAAAAAACTTTTCTTTTTATTAAGATTGTGTAAATCCAGATGCAAAAGGTTCATGCTCACCGTGGAATGCAGGTAGTCCATCAACGATTTCTTGTACTCCGCATATAACTGCTCACTGAGATCATTGGGGGTTTTCATAGTGCAAAAATCGTAGATAGTCCTGACATAACAACGAGAGCAACAAATCCATCATCAGACGAAGGAACGATAAGAGCGAAAGCGAGAAGGAATCGGTGGACACAACGTACGTGCAGAGAAGCATATACTCCATCGTGTTGAACGGCATCTCGGGAAGGCCCTCCAGGATGTTCGTCAGCTTGGTGACGCTTTGCTTCAGCACCGCCATTCCCGCCTCAACATCCACCGTCTTCGGCGAATGAATCGGCATCCTGCTAAAGAACCACCTCAGAATCCAACGGCAACGCCTTGCGGGAAAGAATCGGGATCCTTATACTACAGCCGAAATCAAGTTCGACAAACGTAGGAATATGGCATGGGAGACCCAAAACGAATGGCTTATTATATATAGGGGAGGCGTAGGCGTCTCCATGCATCGAATCCAACCCACGCCTGCAGCCGACCATTTGGTGATGGCAACTTCAGTGGGGCCTCTCCGTGTCTTTCTTTAGACCCTCCCGAAAGTAATTTGGACAATTTTTGGCAAAAAAAACAATTCTTAAAGAGCGCCCCGTTTTTATTTTTATTTGCCTACAGATTGTTCTTTACTTTTTTTATTTTAACATTAATCCCTTCTTTATTTTCCCTCCCCTTTTCTTTAAGAATTATTCCTTTTTCGGTTTGGTTCAATGCACTAAGAATCGGACGAGCCAATTTGATCGAACAAAATTGACAATAAATAAAAACTAACATTATAAAAATTAAAGGAATATTCCATATGACATAAAAAATATAATTCAAGTATATATATCAATATTAATAATTCAATTGATAATTAATTGTAATATTGTGAAAGGATCAATCACGACTGAACACAAACATCATAGATCGGTTAGCATGGTACTTTATAATACTTACTATATAAGCTTTCTCGGTTAACATGAGAATGATATATAAGCTTACCCTAAACCCTAAATCCTAAACCCTAAACGCTAATGTAACATTCAAAAGAGTAATTTTCATTTCGCACTTTAGGATTTATAAATGGTGAGAACTCTAGGTATATACTTATCTTTGAACTCTTGAAATTATATTTATACTCTTGAGGTCTTCATTCGTTTAGATGTTAGAGGGAACTCGTTGGATATGTCTTCACTATATTTTTTTATGATCCTACGATTTGAAATGAATCTACTATTAGAAGAAGGAGACGTTGAGGACTAGTCAACTTGGATGTTTACAAAGGGTCGTTAATTTTCAAACATAACAATATTTGGAATAGGGTTACATCAGTTCACATGGAGTTGATGATCCTTTTTGACATTAACATACTGATGTAAGGAGGGCCCAAAGAAAGATATCACAAGAAAATTAAAATCAAAGTACCCCAAAGAAGAGACTGGTTAGAAAATGCTGTTCTTGACTTTTAACATTATAACCAATATCGAGCTTAACTCCTTGTTCCTCTTGCTCGCAAGAGTGTCGCAATCGAGTCAAATCTCACCTTGCTAGTGATGACTCTTTTTTATTATCAAGTCTTATATTTTGATGATAAAATCAATTAATGAATTTAGATAATTGATATTTTTATAAGTATATTTATTGTATAAGTGATACTAATGATACTTTAAGAGTGTGGATCATGAAATGATCAAATAAACAAATATTGAGCCAAAGGATTGGACATTAAGAAAAGAATCAAACATTGTGCCAAAAGATCGGACGTTGAGTTGAAGAATTGAGCATTAAATGATAGGATTAATCGATATCGTGGAGATTAATCAACATGCCAAAGGATTGTCAATGTGTCGAATGATTGATTGATATTTTGAAGGATCACTAATGTGTTGAATGGTTAGTCGAAAAGCTATAGGCTGCAGTTGAATTGTAATTAGGTTAAAACTATCTCTTTACTAGGTCAACCAGCTACTATGGGGTTTTCTATGAGCTGTTTGGGTCCTTACTAGGCTTGACTATGCTTGGCAATGGCACCACCTAACCTAAGTAGTCGCAATGCTCATACAAGTGGTGATACCATCCAGCATATCCCAGATAGCTTGATCAGTATCGACTCAATGTTTCAGTTGTAGCATCTCCTAGAGCAATGATAATACCATCAATACTCTAGTTTCAGGTTATTTTGATTGATATACTCCATGTTTTGGGGTGGTTGGAGCCTTTATAAAACTTCACTAGGTTGGTGATTCGAGGAGAGAGTTACTAAGTGTTCTTTTGCTTTTAGTGTCAAGTTTGTCTTGTCAAAAAATCCTTTTTTAAATTATAAGGGTTGTTCATTATAAAGCGATGAATAATTCAGAGAGGAATACTTTTAAGTGTAAGACTTACTACTAAATCTTAAAACAGAGAAAGGTGTAAGGTTAGTTGATTTATACTCATTCAGACTAAGATCAAGATAGAGAAAACTGATGGCTTCAAATGAATAAATAAGGAGTAAATGTAGGTCGTGAAACCAAACCAATGTAAATGCTTGCATCTTTTGTGCTCTTATTTAGGCACCTACTTGCTTTTTTATTTCTCTTATATTTTTATTTAATTAATTTTCCCAAAAAAAAATTCAAATACACTGACACAAATCCTAACATCGACTGTCCTAGTCTCTATGCCCAATTAGGTATCTACTAGATCTCTATATAACGTGTTTTACAACTTACCTAAAAAATTCAAGTTTTGATAGGCATGACATAAACCCCTACCTCCCGGTGGCTACATAGAAATCGATGGATAATCAATTATAGTTGTTATAGTTGTGGATCCGATGATCCCTCATCACGAGCAAGCACCAAGCACCATCGTATCTTCCAAATGAGACATGTAAATATTTAGAGATAGCCTACTATTGACAACTAAGGATAGTCCCCTTTCTATTTAGAGATTCAATAGGAGCTTATTCTTTCAAGTTTTCATCTTCTTAGCTTGGAAGCATTTGATGAAAGCACGGATGTTGTGAAGCATATGACGAAACCCATCATATATGCAACTTATGAGATACGTAAATGTCATATTGTTTTCATTACCTTATTATCATGAACTTAATTAGTTTTGCCTAAGTTATATGATACCTCTATAATATTCATCCGTAAAATATCAACCTTCCAAAAACCTTACAAAATATACTATGGACATAAAAAATATATGTTAGTAAACAAGCAAACTATCCAACTCAAGATAGTACAAGCACAAGTAAACACTTTATTTTAGCAACTAAAATGGACCAACCAATTAGATCAACCCAAATGAATAATAAAAAATAAAAATATTAAAATAAATATAAATTCTATTGAAATTTAAAAAAATTCGAAATATAATATGGAAGGCATACAAATAAATCCAAGTTCTTATGTTTTGATAATGTCTAAGTATATATAAATAATAAAAAATTAATATTCTAGAGTTGACAATCAAATTAAGACTCGACAAGCATCACTCAATTGACCACAAGGTCTTAGGGCACTGAGATGGCATCTCCTAAGCTTGCCTAGTTAGTATGATAATAATGTGGCACTATGACATCCAAAACAAAATATTTCCCACTGATACTAATAATGTTAATAATGTAGCTTGTGACTCTTTTGATATACACTCTCCGAATTAGACTTCAATTCTTAAACGTTTGCTTTCTTAAACGTTTGCTTTCTTAAACATTAAATAAGCCTTACTGAGCACGTTATTGGTGTAGAGTCTAATAGAATCCTTGAGCTTATGGTTATGGCAACTTATAGCGATCCTTTACACCGTGGCTGAGAGGTTAGTACGGCTTGGTTTGATCCCAGGTACGTAAGATCATCCACGTCGATACTCGAGCGATGGGAGTTGTCATCCGATGGGGTCGGGCTTGGGCTTTAGCTTTAAGATATGGAGACTCCCCTTTGGCTGGCCGCATTCCTTTCTATCGTCGATCCCTACACACAGGTCGGGGTCGGGAAGGGGACTCCTGACTTCGACCCCTCTGAAGATTTTGTTAGAACTGGATAGAAAATGGGCTAAGAACCGATCCCCGTCGTCGGCCCCGTGATGAGTTTTTATCCTTCAGCCCGGGAACTGGTTGTACCTATCATATTTATGGTTGCTGACCCATCAGGTGACGAGCTTACTCTTGGAGCAGAGGTTGGGCATCCTTAGTGCCATGGCGTCGAACAGCGGTGTCGCACTCGATGCCATCCTAACCTTTACGGGACGACATTGTACTCGGTCAGTGCTATCCCGATCTTTGCGAGACGGCACTGTACTTGGTTGGTGTTGTCCTGACCTATGCGAGATGGCACTGTGCTCGAGCGATGCCATCTCGACTTTTGCGGGATGGCACCGTACTCGGTCGGCGCCATCCCGATCTTTGTGGGACGACGTTGTACTTGGTCGGCACCGTCCCCACTTTTGTGGGTCGGCACTGTACTTAGTCGGCACCATCCCAATCTTTGTGGAACAGCGCTGTACTCGATCAACGTCGTTCAACCTTTGTGAAACGACGTTGAGCGGGGGGCGTGGTCCATTATGTTGACCTTGACGCTGATGTGGCTATGAGTAGTGGTTGGAGGGTAGGTTTCCAAAATGTGCCCTATCAATCTCTCCCTCCCTTAGAGAGTGGCTTGTACCGGGTCACTCCCCGAGGGGCTTGTGTATGGCGCAGTGTGATCTCGTGAGTCGAGTTTGCTTGTATAATGACTAGTGGTACGACCGGTGGTTGGCCGGGGATTTCTAGGAGTAGAGATCGGTCATAGATAGGGTCAGTTGGGGAAGACTGTTAGGATTTTGATTTGATAAGAGACACTGCTCGACATTGGGTGCAGCAATTCGGTCGGAGACAACAAGCACCTTGGCTTGGATATTGAAGGATTGATGCAGCTGAGTATCACGGCTTAGGTTATTTGAAGACTGACATAACCGTGAGGCATGGTTTGGGCGCTATAGATTGGCGTGACCGAGCTGCATGGCTTGGGTACTAAAGACTAATGTGATCGAGCAGCACGGTTCGGGCACTGTCTGAATGATGTGGCCGAACGACATGATTCGGGCACTATATGACTGATGTGACCGAGCAGCATGGCTCGGGTACTATAGATTGATGTGACTGAGCTATTGGAAAATCTTGGGGGCAACATTACATATGCAGCGGAAGAACAGAAAACAAAATCCTCAATTCCCAAAGATATGTTCGTCATCGTGTGAAGATTGGTGCACAAAAATCTACAAAATAGAAAACCACGTGTGAGATAAATTATGTAACCTAGGGAGATCATATATCCTTGAATCCCT